GGGGTGGAGAGCTAGCACGCTAATGATACATGCAACGCATGTGGTGGTATGTCAAAGAACAGCGCAAGTGCAGGAAAAACCCCGCCTCTACGTGCCATGACAAGGCAGCCCTCCCCAGCCCTTGCCTAAGAGAAAGCCCCGCAATCCTGCTCCCTAAGGAGCCAGTCACCTGCCCCTTTCATTTCTGCCGGCTCCCTGGTGCCTTCCTTGCGCACAAGCTAATAAACTTTTACTTTTCTACTCCCGTTTGTTGTCTCTCTTGATTTCTATCCTGGGGGACAAGAACCCAATGTACCGCACAAATTTGGACCTATTTCCCCTAAAGAAACTATTGCCACTTTAAATCTAAAGGGCAAGGGTGGGAAGGCACTGGAATGCTGGCTACATTCCAGTAGCACCTCTGGGCTGTAGAGGTGATGGTGGAAACAGACACAGCAGGATCTGCTGAGAAACGCAGCCTCACCCCTACTTCTCATCCCGGGTAAGGATGGATGAGGTGAGGCCAGGTGAGTGGCTTGAATTGAATTCCAAGTGGTGCTCCTGGAGTCTTTGGCACCATCAGATGGGGACCGTGGAGCCTGTGTATGGAGAAGAGTGTGGCGGGTCGGGGTGTAGTTTCGCTGTACGTTAATAGGGGCCCTTGATGGAAGACTCTGGCTGAGGACGAATAGGAGGCAGAAGGGGAATGGCTCCAGGAAGCATCAGGATGGCCCCAAAAAGTTGGGATCTGAGAGACTGGTGATAGGACACCTGCGGCAGTGGAGTGGTGGGTCCAGAGGAGGTTAATTTTGTTTTTAATATGAGATGGGGGCTGAATCCTCAGAATAGGAGCTGAGAATGGTAGTTTCTCAAGGAGGAAGAACCATGGAGGAATGAAACCAATCCTTCTACCGTTGTTAGGCATTTCTACAAATTAGCTCCTTTAATCCTAACCACCACTCTAGATAAGGAGCATCAGAAAAATCACACCCCTGGTACACAGGCAGAGAGGGGATTTGAACCCAGTTCCCTCTGACTTCAGAGGGTGCACTCTGTCCAGCTCTGGTCTGAGAGGCAGGATGCTCCTCTCTTCCCTTTGTATCTACCCCCTACCTCCTCAGGCGTTCTCTCCTGTTTCCTGTGCCTCTTGCAATTCACTTTCCTGTCTCCTTTCTTTCTTCTTTAAGCAATCATAATTTGTAACAAATATATGTACTAAACAAAATTAATTTAAAGAGTAAACTAGTTGTAAATTTTATATTCTTCTAAAGAACAAGACTCCAGGTCTTCTCAAATTAGGGAAAAGTTGTCTTGTACTTACTTATACAAAGCCTATGACTCATTTTTTGTCTCTTTATGGATCAGTGTAATCAAGGGAAACAGTAGGTCAATGAACATATGATCAAAATGTTTGAGTTGAGAAACTGCAACATGAAGAAGTTCGGTGACTTGTTTAGAATAAGTTGGCTGGTTCCCGAATGATCCAAATAATTGAGGGAAAGAGTGAAATAGGAACAATCCCAAGTTTACAAATCAATTGAGTTTCAAAAGTGTGTTTGTTAATCAGTCATCTGACATTGGGTTTATGTCCCCAATGAAAAGAAAATTTTAGGTAGGGATGCAACCTGATCATCAGAAAATAGCTGAAATCCGTTATTTGTACCCAAGAGGAGTACAGCAAACAAACCAAAATTATTATGCAATACTTAAAATTAACACAACATAAAGACAACACACTGAGTAAGAAGGACTTTAATTTTAAGTGCACGGAGAGAGAAAATTTAATTTGGAGGATGAAAGAGTTAACCGGAGAATCTGATGGAGATTCTGAAGATGGCTTTTGGACACTGATCAGGGGCTTTTGAGGATGGATGACAGACACCTGTGTTAAGAGCTGGTAAAGGTGATTTCTAAAGTGCTCATTGTTTATAACACCCAGTAGTTAAAAAACATCTGTCCTTCAAAATCTATCAATTAAATACACTACTCAAAGCAGAATCTTTAGGTGGTGGTTTCTCTTCATGCCCTTCCCACTCTAGCCATTTTAGAAAGTTAATTCACACACACATGAAGGCATTTCCTTCTTTTGGTTTTGCTGTTCACCTAACCAGATCACCCTCTCTTCTCCTCATTGCCTGATAAAATATCCTCCCTCAAAGCCTAATTCAAATGTTACATCAATTTTTTTTTTTGCTGAAGAAGATTGGCCCTGAGATAACATCTGTTGCCAATTTTCCTCTATTTTATATGTGAGCTGCCGCCACAGCATGGCCACTGACAAATGGTGTAGGTCCAAGCCCGGGAACCGAAGCTGGGCCGCTGAAGCAGAGTGCGCTGAACCTAACCATTAGGCCACTGGGGTTTAAATCCCTTGACAAAATTTAGCTGTCCCTCCTCTGAAACCAATTGCATTTTGATTGCATTTCATGCATTTCTTTCATGGTTTACAGTTTGTCTTCCGCTTTAGTATTTGTATTCATGCTTTATAACATTAAGGTGTAAACTCTTGTGTACACCTTCTCCACAGGTGCTCAGGAAATAGTTAAATACGATTACATTGTATCAATTCAGGTTTCTGCTCAAGTCTTCTCAGAACACCTTCCCACCACCTTTGCAAAATAGTGTTTCCTCATTCCCATTCCCTAGCCCTACTTTATTTTCTTTATAGCACACATCATACTGGATATAATATTTGTTTATTGTCTGTCTCCTCCACCAGAATGTATTAGCTATAAGGGCAGGGACTTTGTTTCATTTACTGTTATCCTATCCCTAGCACTTAGAACTGTGCCTGGCCCAGAGTAGGAGTTGAATAAATCGTGTACAGGTATCCTCCCTTATCTGCGGTTTTGCTTTCTGCAGTTTCAGTTAACTGCGGTCAACCGCAGTCCGAATGGAAAATTCCAGAAATAAACAATTCATAAGTTTTAAAATCTCGCACCATTCTGAGTAGTGTGGGGATGGATACGAGTAGTAGTGTGGCTCCGTCCTGCCCGGGATGTGACTCATCACTTTGTCCAGTGGATCCACACTGTATAAGCTCCCCGCCCGTTAGTCACTTAGTAGCCCTCTAGGTTATTAGATTGACTGTCATGTATCGCAGTGCTTGTGTTCAAGTAACCCTTTATTTACTTAATAATGGCTCCAAAGAGCAAGAGTAGTGATGCTGGCAATTCCCACATACCAAAGAGATGCCATCAAGTGCTTCCTTTAAGCGAAAAGGTGAAAGTTTTCGACTTAGTAAGGAAAGGAAAAAAATCGTATGCTGAGGTTGCTGATATCTATGGTAAGAACGAATCTTCTATCTGTGAAATTGTGAAGAAGGAAAAAGAAATTTGTGCTAGTTTTGCCGTCGCACTTCAAATAGGTATGTAGAGGAAAAAACATAGTATATATAGGGTCCAGTACTATCCCTGGTTTCAGGCATCCGCTGCGGGTCTTGGAACATCACCCCCAAAGATAAGGGGGACTATTGTAATTGAAAGTGAAAGACATACCAATGGAGGTATATCAAGACACTGGGTCTAATAATTCATTGGTTCTTTCACTAAGCTGCAGGACACAGAGCAAGTCATTAACCCATGATGGGCATCATAAAATTAAGATTATTAAATACAGGATCTCTGAGGTCTGGTGTAATTCCATTACTTTCAGAGTAGGAAGTGAGAGAGGCAATCAACAAACGAGTTCAAGTGGATGTGCGTGTGAAGAAGAATCCTCGAGGCCAGATTAAAGGAGCTACTCTCAGTGAACAGCAGAAAGAAGGTGAACAGCATGAGCGAAGAAAGAAGCAGAGGAAAGGGCTGCCTTCAGATGCACGGGCCTGTCAGGAATGCTCTGGGCAGGTGCTGCAGTGGGAGCCTGAGGCCATATAGGATGCTGGGCGGGTGGAGAAGAGGCTCTTGGGAAGAAGGAAGGCAAGCTAAAAGGGGAGGGTGTGTGTACTTTGTATTTTCCACATACTTTGCAAATTTGCCTTCTTTTCCAGTCAACAACCGCTCTGCTGTGACTTTATCGGGGCCTGATAAACATGTGGCTCACATATGAAAACAAATAAGTTCTATACAAAGAGTCACATTACTTCTCCATTTAATTTATGACAAAACCTCTTCTTTATTTCCCAAAGCAAACTAGATTCTTCTCTCTTATCCTGAATCTCCACAGCACTCTGCTCTTCTCATCCTAGAATATCTTACTGTGTCTGGTGTTGCAAGCTTCTGTCCTCTCGCCTGGTCGCCCCGCCCTGGTGCCTCCCCTCCCCCACACCAGTAAGTCTCAGACGGCCACAGTCTATCTTGGATTTTTCTGCCCCAGCCTAGTACAATACTCTGCAGCCTCTCTCTCTCCCTCTCCTGTGCTCATATATTTTATGTCGAACTAATATATAGGACAGAGCTCAAATTTAAGCTATATTAAAGTTCTAGGCTAGTTTCCAAAATAGACATTGATCCCAGGCAGAGGGTTCGAAATATCCCACATAAGCTACCGAAGGGCTATGCCATCTAGAGGGCCCTAGAGGGCCATCTAGGAAGCAACCATTGACACTTAAAACACACACACACATAAAGACAAACAAACTTGGGAAATGGCCCTCAACGCCTCATGCTTGTTCTAGACCACGGCCAAAGACGCGCTGTCCTTGGCCGCAGCGACTTCGTCTGGCCTTCCAGAAAGACGCCCATGCACCGCTACGTCCCAGCACCCGGGTGAGGCCACCGGTCCTGTGGCCACAGAGGGACGGGAGGCCCCTGCTACCCAAAACCCGGACTCCCGGACAGCTCCCCACGCCCCTCCCGCCGCGCGAGGACCGGGCGGTCCCCGGGGCGCTGGGGCTGTGGCGCCCCCTCCCGGTCCCGACGCAGCAGCGGCAGCCCGGCCCCGCCCAGGCTGCGAGGTGGCCTCCGACGAGCCGCGCCCCACGCAGGCGCGCTGAGGCCGGGGCGGAGAGCCGGGGGCGGGCCGGGCCGGTGGTGTTTCCGTTGCCTGGAGCGTGCCGAGAGCAGCCGCCTGGAGCCGCCTCCGCCCGCATCCCTGCCTGCCCAGCGCGCCGCCGCTCTCCGGGAGTTTCGGGGCACTAGGGTCCCCCTGTCTGGTGAGTGCCCTGCTAGCCTGGGGAGGGGCTCCCTCCGGAGAGGGGCGCGGGGGCGCGGGGCTCGCGGGCGCTCGGCGGGGAGCTGTCCCGGGAGCTGCGGGAGGGCGGGGCTGCGCGGCGGCGGGCGGGTCTGGCTCGCTGACCCCGCGGTGTCTGTTCCCTTGCAGTCCTGCATCACCTTCTCCCGACCAGAGCACTCGCCATGACCCAGGTAAGGGCGGGCGTGCCCGCGCAGCGCTCGGGTTCCCCAGCTTCGTCTGCTGCACCCAAGCAGTTCTAGAATTTGTCTGCAAGCTAAAAAAGTTGAGGAGTGACCTGAATCTGGCTTCGGGAAATCTGACACTTTTCTTGCTTGCTCCTTGCTCCCCAACCCCTTTCCCGTGTCCCTGCTTCTTCCCGCGGAGCGTCCGGCGGAACCCGCGCGGTCCCGGGGAAGCCGCCCGGCGGCCGCAGAGCGGGTGACGTGGCCGGGCCTCTGCGCGCTCCCTTCTCCTGCGCGAGTGTGTAAGAGCCGCCCCCCCCCAAGCCGGCGGGTCGCTAAAATTAGAACCAGAGCAGCAACAGCTCATCCCGGTCATGTGAGCCGAACGCACATTTTTTTTTTTTCTTGGCTCCCTTTTTTCCCCAAGTTTCCTGTATTTTAATACAGTGAGTGGGCATTGGCTGTTTGCAGTAGAGCTCCAGTGGAAGTTTTTCCAGTTGCTCAGCCCGATTTTACTAAAAGCAACTCCCGTCGTCGGCACTCATTTTTTTTTTTTTTTTTCCTTTCATACAAAAGATTAAACAGAAGAGCTGCTTTTCAAGTCGTGAACTCGTGGAAGGAGTTCTGAATTGAGTTTGCGCTGGGATTGTTTCAGCAGTTGATTACCTCATATTGGCTTTCTTTGCTGTTCTTAACGTTTATCAAAAACATGGGAAAGAGAAAATCGTTTCATGTATATAGCGGGCTTTAAAAATTGACCGAGTTGTACATTCTTTTGTGAATAAAATATCAGCGCTTAACAACTCCACCCCAAAACTAATTTTCCAAATCTCGTCAATCTAACTCGCTTGTCAGTCCAGATAATTTTTTTTGAACAAGTGTTTTAACTGCTCAAACAATGCCCTGTCTCATTTATAGTTCACTTTTTTTTTTTATCAGATTGACTTATCAAAATTGAATAAGGTTTCATGGCCTTTTTCAAAAGAAAATGGGAAGGTTAAGATGAGTTGGTAACTTTATTAAATTTATACAATGTTTTCATTCTTATTTCCTCTTTTGCACTTAAGAAATACTACAATAAACCAATTCTCATATTACTTCAGTGGAAACTTTGGTTTAGGTTCAGGATACTTTTATGTGGAATTAACTTTCCTTCCCTGAGAATTATTTTTCTATCTTGATATGCTGGTGTGGTGATATAAATGATGATTTAGCAAGCATCAAAGAATAACTTCCTTTATCCTTGCTCGATCAGCTGTTTCTCAAATCTTTTTTTTTTGTTTACCCAGTGATGTTCGAAGTTTTTCAATCAATTCCTTTTAATTATGTAAACTCGTAATCCAAGGTAGCATAAATGAACACATTTTTTCAATTGTGACATTAATAATTTCAAAGAATGAAAATAGGTAGTGTAAACCTGGGAAAATGATGGCTTGCATTATAAAGTTATGTACATGATCTGTATTACAATATAACACGGGGACTGTTTTCTTTCAAAACCACAGTTTTTAATCATAAAAGTTACAAGTAATGTTAAGACAGGTACAGTGTTGAATTTTGTGCTAGGTTTGTTATCAGTTATCCTTGGAACCATGGCAGTAAAATATTTTGTTAAAGTATCTAATATTAAGATGGAGTTTTATTGTCTTTATACTTAAATTTGATGGTGCGCAGAATGCCCACGTTATGGAATTGCACTTTTGTTGTCTAAGATTACTGTACTCCTGTGCAGTTGTAGGAAATCTGAAGTAGCTGCAGTGTTTATTTTCACACGGCTTCTATGGTAGTAACTTTCGTTGACCTGTGGTATGGCAACCAGAGACCTCCACCCTGTGGCCATCTGTAGAGTAATGGAATCTGATGCCCCAGTCTTAGAGGGGCACATTTCATCAATTTAAAATGTACTGTGAAATGTTCATGTCTCTTATTTATTGAAAAATTATTATGTAGCCTCCCATAGCAGTAATTTTTCATGTTTATGAATTATGTCTTCCATACCAGTGTTTTTTCTTTTTACTTAACGTTGGGACCACCCTACCTATAACAGTCTGCAAAAGTCCAGGAATCAGTTATCCTGTAGGCAGATCATGGGCATGATAATGAGAGAGTGTTGATTGATTGATCTTTGTAGATACATTGGACTTTCCTTTTTTATATAGATAAGTATTATTAGATATTTTACACTCTTTTGCATATTTATATTAATATTTTGTTTATTATGTGAATTATTATAATTAATATAATTTATATCAATGCAATTTTTTTTTAGTTAAATTTTACCCTAATCGTGATAGTGTAGGGGGACAAAGCCATGGCAAATATTGGAAGTATGTAAAAAGTGACTTATATTATCGTGTTGGGAGAATACATTCAGAGCTGGAGGCGTTTGTGGGGTAACCACCACTTGAGCTCTGCCCTTCTCTTTCTGATCCTAATCCTCGTCCATTAGCATTGAAATATGTGGGATTCTACCAATTGACTGTTACGAAGGCAAGAAGTAGTCTAATGTGAGGCTTCCCGGTCTTTCTCAGAGAGAACACACTGGTTAACTGTGTCTTCTCCATGACATACAAGAAAAATATAAATTACACATGTACCTGCATGTAAACAATTCCTGGACAATATTTACTTTTTTATACGTTTGAAACAATTCATTTTAATGGTTTTACATTTATATGGTTTGAAACCACAGCATCTGTGTTATTTTAGCGTAAACTTTGCTAAATGGGTAATAAATAATTATGATTATTGGATCAGTAACGTTTTTTACTGTGGTAAATTTGGATACAGGCTGGTTCAAGCTATTTACTAAGAATGGCCACAGAGTTGTTAACAATTGCCTGAATTATCTATATATAATAAAATATTTTTGAATCCTTTCATCTTTTTCTTTTTATAGTCAACTTCTGATTGTATAAATGTGAAATTTTCATTAGGTTTTAGGGTTATTTCCTCAATCTGACTTAGCGTATTTTGGGTTGGATTTCTTAAATTGGGTTCTGACCTATTTCTCTCTTATTCTCTTTTTTATCTCACTGTTTAGTTAGAGCCAAATTATTTCATAGATATTTTGATTTATTTTATTTAATTACTTAAAAGTACATTCTGTACTTTTGTATTCTTTGTTTGGAAAAATCAAGAGTTGGCTCTGTTTCATGGATGAATGATCCATTTATTTTATTTCAATTTAAGGCTTTTATGTCTTTAATTTTCTTTAAGATAATGAAACTTTAAAAAATTAGATTTTCCTGGGGCTATCCCAGTGGCGTAGTATTTAAGTTCATGCACTCCGCTTCAGTGGCCTGGGGTTTGAGGGTTCAGATCCTCGGCACGGACCCGTGCACCGCTCATCAAGCCATGCTGTGGCGGCATCCCATATACAAAATAGAGGAGGATGGGCAAAGATGTTAGCTCAGGGCTAACCTTCCTCAGCAAAAAAAAAAAAAAAAGATTTTGGGCAGTCTGAACTTAGTTTTATTTATAATGTTGTTTATAAACAGTTAATATATTCAGGGCAGGAGGAATGTCATCAAGGCAAAATCAGGCTTCATAATTTTTCACTGGAAACTTCATAAACATTGGAGTTATCTCCCTGATATGTATTTAAAACTGTGCAAGGTTTGATTAGAAAGTTTTTTGTTTCGTTGGAAATCATTGTGCTTTGATAATTTACAAAGGCCCTGTGCAGAACAAGCAGGATCAGTGTCAGCGAGTAAATCTGAGATGAGATCCGTTGGAGAGAAGTTGACTGGGTATTGATTGTGTCTTCTCATGCCATTCAGTTTAAGGCCTGCTCTCTCTGTAGAGGTGATCCTCTCTTGGGATCTTAGATCAGGGTTACCTGTTACCCATGGCCTGTGCTGCTTCTGGTTAGTCTCTCTCAGTTTCTGATTCCTTTGACTCTTGTCTTCATTTTGGATGCAGAGCAAGAACGAGCTCCAAAACTGCTTGGCAACTTTGCAAGCCACTGAGCAGTTCATTGGCATTCAGCAACCTTTAATTCCCTTATCCAGCATCAGTGCCCCTTGGAAGACCTGCACAGGTGGCAAGCTAGTTAGAGGTGACAGTCTGTGGTTTTCTTGTTTTAGTGACTTCGAAGTGTAAAGTGGTAGAAATATAACAATATTTTTATATCATGGATCCATTTCTGAAATAAATTTTACTCATATAATCTGTATACTATTCTAAAACTTCACAAACATCAGCAGTTTTTTTTTTTTTTTAAATTAGTGCTCCTAAGACCTTTGCTTTAAGTGTTTCTTGGACTCAGCTTTTCAGTTTAGTAGTTTATATAATATGTAAACCTATAAGCAATTGATTAATTGGAAGGAATGCATATTCCAGTTGCTGTCACTTCTTTGGACACCAGTTCCTAACTGTTCTCTTCACTTTCCATTCATGCGTGCATTCATGAATGTCTGAAGCTTTTGAGTTGTGCCTAAGATTTATCGATATAACAGTATGCATTATTTAGTGCTCATAATATAGTTTTGGAAATAATTATTACTATTTATTTTTCACAGAAGAAGAAGTTGAGGTTACTAAACTGGCATTGGTCGTATGGGACAAAGGAGGGAGGGCATTCTGTGTAGAGGCAACAACAGCAGAAGTAAAGGCTCATGGCTGTAAGGGAGCCTGGCAGGACCAGGAGCTGCAGGCAGTATGATGTTGCTGGAGTGAAGCTGCAGTCAGGTGAGGAGATGGAGCCCTGTCTTGGAAAGCAATTCCAGAAAGGCAGACAGGAGCCGGAGCTAAAGAATATGAAGCATTTTGTAGGTAGTGGAGCGCTATTAAGAAGTTGTAAGTTGGGGTGTGCCGCGGTCATATTTGTATTTAACAGAGATCACCCTGGTGCCAATGTGATGTTTCATTTCTGGGGTCTTCAGAGGTGGGGCGGTGGTGCAGAGGTTGAGGGAGGGGAGGAGAGAAAAGCTGGATATTGAAAGACCATGTAGGAATCTGTTGCTATAATCCCAGTAAAATCTCAAGGTCTTAAACTAGGCAGTGGC